CCTTCAAGGCGAGGCTGGGGAACCCCAGGTGATGAGCAAGCTGGCAGTGAGAAAGCCAAGGGAGGCGAGGGAGACCAGCTCACATTGCTTCTGCCACACTCGTGGGAGGCCTCACTTCCCCTCCCAGCATTGTAAGAGGAAAAAGAAAAAACAGAAACCCTGTTCCTTAAACAGCACAGTCCAAGCCAGGAGAGGCGGCGTACACCTGTGATCCCACCACTCGGGAGGCTGGGGCAGGAGGAACACGGTGCAGTCAAGGCCAGCCCAAACTAAACACCAAGACACTGTCTCAAATCAAAACCAAAAGAGTTTGGTGCCTGAAAGCATGGCATGAGGTGGGTGTGACAGGAGGGCGGGAAGGAAGGCAGCTATTGCGCTTTACTGTGCACACCAGGTATTTTATGGAGGAAGAGGGCTGTCTTTACACCAGAACAGGAGAGGTAAACCAGGCAGAGACAGGGAAAAGTATTAGGACACTGGGCCTGCAGGCAAATCTACCCCTGCCTCTCCACAGGGCTTCAGATAAGTTACTTCTCCAGGCTGTTTCCTTGAAAGTAAATTAACAGATTCAGGGATCTTAACAGTTTGTTTGGGTTTTTGAGACAGGTTCTCACTACGTATTTTAGGCTGGCCTTGAACTCACTGTATGGCCCAGGCTGGCCTCAAATTTACTGTGATCCTCCTGCCTCAACCTCCCAAGTGCTGGGATTATAGGTGTATACCACCATGCCCAACTAAAGTTTTTCTGATTAAGAAAAATCTTACCCGGGCATAGTGGTGCATGCCTGTAATCCCAGCACTCGGGAGGCTGAGGCAGGAGGATCACTGCAAGTTCGAGACCAGCCTGGGCTACAAAGTGAGTTTAAGGCCAGCCTGAACTGCATAGTGAGACCCTGTCTCAAAAAGACAAAAAAAAAGAAAAATCTTAGACTATAATGCTGAGTCTTCTTAGCTCTGAATAGAGGCAGCTCAGGAGACGTGGTGGACATGTAAGCAGCAACCTGGCAAGAATATACTCAGTGACTTTCTTATAGTAAAGAGCAAAGGCAAAGTGGTACTGCTTTGACTTTAAAGAAGGGTGTGGCGGCCCAGCCTATAATTCCACCTAATCAGGAAGCTAAGGCAGGAGGATCCAGAGTTCAGGGTCAGCCTGGGCACCTTAGCAAGACTTTGTCTCAGAGTACAGATATAAAGAGCTAGGGAGGTAGCCCAGCTCTCTGGGTTCAATCACCAGCACAATGATGATGATGATGGCCCTATATATTCCCCAAACGAAGCTGTGTGGCTAAGCTGTCAGACACTCCCTAGGGCTCCACAGCATCGGCCCCAGACCACTGTGGCTCCCAGGAACACGCTGCTCCTCCCCCAGCCCAGGCAAAGGGCAATGTGTTCGTCCTGCTTGTCACAGCTGTGGAACCCAGTGGTGTCCTTGGCCTCAGAAGAGGAGGCAAAGGCGTGACAGCCCCTTCCCCCTCTGGCCCTCTGGCAGGACCGTCTTGCCGACTTAGGCTGCTTCTGTACCCCCACTGCTGTGGGACTTGGAGCTGTCAGCAGGCCGGCGAGGGCGGGGCCGCATCTAACACTCAGCAGTGTGGCTGCTCTGATGCACCCATACCCCAGGACCACAGAAGCAGGAAGCCACTTCATAAGAGAAACCCGAGCCACTAGGTAACTTCATTTCACAAATGCGCAAACAGCAGATTACAACAGCAACAAATGTTTCTGAGGCACCGCCCTGGGCTGGGGGCTTCACAGCAGTATACTTCATTTCATTCCTCCGAAACACCTACGAGGGAGGTATTATTATCCTCATTTTTTTGAAATAAGAAGCCTGAGGTTTTTAAGGGTTAAATAACTTGCTACCAAGTTTTTTTAAGTACTACTTGCTAACTTGGCCTGTTCAGCATAATCCAAGTATTTGTAGGTAACAGAAAAGGAATCTGAGCCTGGTTCTGTAGTTTCTCAGGTCGCTCTTCTTTCCAATAAAACAACCCAAAGTAATCTCAGCACTCTGGGAGGCTGAGGCAGGAGGATCACAAGTTCAAGCCCACCCTGGGCAACTTTGCAACTTAGCAAACCCATGTCAAAACAAAATATAAAAATAGAGCTGGGGATAGAGCTCTTGGGAAGGCCCTGGGTTCAATCCCCAGTACCACAAACCAAAAGGGTCAGGAGTGAGACAACAGGACTGGAGAGTTGCTCCTGGCACAAGGCTTGCCTAACACATTCAGGGCCAGCGCCACAGAAAACAAGAGAGAACGAGGCCCTTGTCATGGGCCTACGGGCAGCAGGCCTTGCGCCGGGCAGACACAACCGGTTGGGATAATAATGAAATGCACGTAAATCCTGCCCTTCTAGGTTCTGGGTGAGGATATGGTCCTCGATGATCTGTCTTCGGGAGCCTCAAAGGCTGGCCAGTGGACGCCTCGCTTAGGCCTTCCCCTCCTCTGGGAAGTGGGTGTGGGCCAGAGGAGGAGGGCTCGGCAGTACTCTGCCCCTTTGGCAAGTGAGGACTCAGCAGGGATTACAGAGCTTGCCTGATACTCGGTCAGCACAGTGAGGACAAGACCGTCTTGGCTCCTTCCAGGACAGCCCCTGGGTCAAAGACAATCACCCTCCAGGCACCCCTGCCCACTGCAGTCCCACAGCAGCCAAACCTGTGCATCCAGGCTTCACTCCTTTTCTCTCTCCTCTCTTTGATGGAGACAGGCTGCAGCACAGGCGATCTTCAAAGAAAAAGACAGGCCCCTGGCAGTGAGTGTGGACTGCACTGCAGCTGTATTTCAGAAGGGAAACCATGACGACCGTCACCCTGTGTCATGGACTCTGGGCCTGACACTGCCCAGCGCTCTACACTCAGCCCCTCTACAGTCTGCACACACAGGCGGGTTTTGTGGGCCCCAGAGCTCGTGTAACTTGAGGGGCCCTTCATAGGGGACAAATTCTGGGGCAGAATTCAGTACAGGGCTTTGGAAGGGCCCTTGCATGAGAAGCACTGCAAGCTCCATGGTAAATGTACAACTGTGCCCGACAGCTGATACCACTTGTCCCCAGTTTTTTTTTTTTGTACCGGGAATTGAACTCAGGACCTTGTGCTTGCCAGGCAGATGCTTGTGCCACTGCTGAGCTATATCCATGGCTGGTCCCCATTTTTACAAGAACTGAGGGGCTGGGGATTTAGCTCAGCAGCACAGTACCTGCCTGGCAAGCCCAAGGTTGTGAGTTTGATTTCCAGTACCGGAAAAAAACAAAACAAAACAAAACAATACAAGAACTGAAATCCAGGCTTTGAGAAGTGACATAATTTGTCCAAAATCAAAAAGCTTGCAAATGGCAAGTCTGGGATCTGAACATAGGGTGTTAGACTAATCTCACATATGTTTCAGTTGTGTGACGGCTAATAAAATAATATTACTATCATTTATTAAGCACCAACTCTATCCCAGGAGAAGTATACCTGTCTCCTTCACTAATTCTTACCACTTTTCTATATACAGCCGTCGTTATTACCTCCAATGTCAGACAGAAAAACGTGAACCAAGAAAGACAGAACCACCAGCTGCTGGTGCCCAGTCACTGCCCGAGGTTTCACCCACACAGTTCCTCCCCCTGGACACCATCCCACACGCCCGAGCCCTCCAGCTCATCCAGGAAAGGGCCCAGTGACGCTCAGTGACTACAGCTGTGTCCACTGAAATTAGCCCCGTCCTTCCCTGGCGGTGCCACCCGGGGCGCGCTCCTGGGCTGGGTGGGCCGTTGTGCAGTGTCCTACTGCCCTTCGAGCCCTCCTCACGGAGAAAACCACTCGAGAAGGCCAATACCACCTCTGGCCTCCGCCAGCTGCCTGTACCCACCCTGAACCATGAAAGACCTAGGGAATCTGGACTGGCCACACTGCGAGGCCCTTCACCCTGCAGGGCTCCCCAAGACAGCCTGTAAAGCCAGGATGAAAATTCACCTCAAACTATCGAACTGCTTGAGTCCAGCAGCTCAAAGCAAGAGGCTAACCTCCTCAAATGACTAGCCAGGGTTTGCATGTGCAGGGTTAAGGGACACGGACGCCCCTCAGGGTGCCTGAGGAGTTCACACAGTGTGCCAGCCTTCCCTTCCCTTGGCACTGTGAACTTAATAAAAATTAAATGGCTTGCTTTTGCACCCAGCTACACCCCCAACCCCTTTTATTTATTTTGAGACAAGGTCTCCCTGTCTCCCTAAGTCACTAAAATGCCCACACTTGACTGACTGGAACTTAGATCCTCCTGCTTCAGCCTCCCAGACGGCTGGCATTACACGTGTTTGCTATCATACCTGGCTCCTGCTATGGCACTCTTTAAGAAATTGCTAGATCCCCAGTAATTGGTTACTTATGGAAACTCTGTGAAAGTAATGTTGCCACCTGGCCAACATGACGCTACAAGGAGTGCGGACTCAAGCTGGGGCAGGTCGGAGCTTTCAGCCTGCAGCAAGTCGAGGGGAGGTTGTGCGTGCGCCAGGACAGGCCCCCACGGAGTTCTCTAAGGGAAAAGGACCCCAACTCTCTCCCGTTCCTCTTTCCCCGGCGTGGTAAAGCGCGGAAAGGGCAAGGAGAGGGACACAGTGAAGTCAGAGGATGGGAAGCCAGGCGCAGGGCCGGCCGCCGCGGGGCGCGAGGAAGCACGCGGGGCGGGGCGGGCGGCGGCGCACAGGCCGCGAAGGGGGCTGAGCGCGGAGGGCGTCGCCGCCGCAGCCCGCGGCCCGGCCGGGGAGGAACGCGCGCAGCGTCGAAAGCTGCGGCTGTCCCCCGTTTGTTTCTCCAGGCGGGAAGAAAACCGGCTGGGCCCGGCCGAGACAAGGCTCTCTGGAGGGGCAGAGACGAAGCCAGCTCCGCGCCTGGTCGCGCGCGCCCCGCCCCGCTGCCCGCGCCCGGGACGGCGGTGGGTGCGGCGCTGCACGCGGGGTTCCGCGGCTGCCGGCGGGGCCCGTAGTGGGAGCGCGCGCTCAGCGCCCCGACCCCAGCTCACCTTCTCCACCGCCCGGTCCACGGCCTTCTGGAAGACCCGGGCCACGAGCAGCGTGACGCTGGTCACCAGCAGCAGCAGGGACAGCGTCCCCGCCGCGTAGAAGCAGCACCTGCCCATGCTGCGCGGCGCCCGGCCGGCTGCGGGAGCGAGAGTGAGGGCGGCGCCCCGGCC